CCAGTTTGACTCCTCTAGCTATCCAATCAGTTGGGTCTTGATCTCTTGTCCAAACATGACTCCTGAACTTTCTTCTACATCTCTCTGTGTTGATGTTATAACGCTCCAAAATAGCTTTCTTGACTCCATCATAATCAGTAGTAGTTCCCAGATCAGTACAAACAGTTCTAGCCTTGCCACTTAGTAACGGTGTCAGACGTAGAATCCAATTTGTCCGATTCACCCCTTGTATCTTCATAATACCTTCGAATGCTTCAATGAAGTCTTGGATATCCTCTGTTTCTTGATATGGTGATATTTTTAAATGAGGACTATTCCCTTCTCTTTCTGCTAGAACTCCTTTCATAATCTCTATCTGCTGCATATGCTGCTCCTGCATGGCCTGTATCTCTTCATAATGTCTCTCTCTTTGTCGCTCCTCTTCTCGACGACGTTCTTCAGCTTGTCTCTGAGCCTCCTCTCTTCGTCGCTCCTCTTCCTGACGACGTTCTTCAGCTTGTCTCTGGGCCTCCTCCCAACGACGTTGCTGCTCCTCCTGAAGCTTTGTTAAACTTGCCAAAGCTGCCGCTAATTGCTCCATCGGATCACTAACTCCTGTAATAAGACTTTCTTCCACTTCAGTACAGTCTTCCGTATCAACTGAAGTATAACTCTCTCTGAAAATATGCAATCCTCGCAACTGTCCTCTGTAGTCGTGTCTTGGTAAGTCCCGTAGAGAATACCGCCCTTGATTCTCTCGACTGTTATCCGACATAAACAGTCACACCAGACACTATAAACTTTAGTCTCTCACACACTAATAATAATAGTAATTTAATAATAATAATAATTTAATAATAGTGGGTCTTTCCTCTACAACCGTTTGAGAACTATCCCACCGCTGCCACCAAAAAATGTAACAGACGCTCCAACTATCTGTTAACCAAACTTTATTCTTAATCAACACGAGACTCAACTGAGCTCCAAAACCAACTAACAAAAACAAAACTAACTCACAACTAAAACACACTAACACAACTCACAAACAACACACTTATAATAGATGTTATAAATGTCCAGAAGGTTCTATAACATACAAGAATACTTTACATGATTGTTCTAGAATATACTTGAATAAACACATAATATATAATTACAACAGTACACAGAGAGTTCCGGATCCATCTAGAAACAACTTCTTACAGACAACACAGTATAGACCTGTATAACAATTTCCAGGCCTGGTGGTCCCAAAGTAGTTTTAAAATGAGGACAAGTAGTGTGGTACCAATAGTATCTTCAATGTTCAAAGTACACAAAATTTTACATGCATTATGTAGCCTGGATTAGGCTACAAGGAATAAATTGAACAAAAATGTAAAATTGAGTATTGCATCATCATTACCATTCAATTCTACTAGAAAATGCAAAATATTAAGGGCCTATTCCATTCAAATATAATATTACTAGATGGATCATGAGGTGAAAAGCAGGCGAAAGCTACATGTGTAGCTCCATAACCGTCATGTTAGCAATTATACATTGCATTTATTATTGACTTATTATGCATTACAATTGAAATATCATCTGAATGATGACAAAGCATGATGTGGCACAATATTGCTGATCCATAGTATAGTTCAGGCTCAGACATTATTTACACAATTGAATACATGTACAAACCAGGTGCTAGGCTGCAGGAAATCATCAGAGGTGAAGACTGAAGTTTTCAGCATACCATCATCTTTATTGCAACCTTCATGTGGCTTGCTCCGATGCACAATGGCATACAGTACTAAAGGTCTTCTTTCCAGCAGCCATTCTTATAAATAAGGGGTTAAATTTAATACATAACTAGTTAATAACTGGAACTTTTACAGTCATGTGTGATGGGAGGGTTCCGAACTTTTTCTATCTAATGTGACGGGAAAAGTGTACGAACCGGGTGAAATGGCTGGCTTCATTTGGCCAGTAGCTTTCACAACCTGAACTTGCAAAAGATTACAAGCTATTTAGTATGCCATTATCAACCTCCATTCTGTGCTTTCTATCATACCCAATGGCAACAAGACCTTCTTGGGTCCCCTTGCCGGCAACCCTTCAACAATGGTACATCCTCCTTACACATTCATGCATATATTCCTTGGTGCGATAAAATGATGATATTAAATTACAGTTACCTCTTTTGGTAGTTTACAGGAGAGGTCAGTGGGAGTCCTCCATGAAAGGTATTGCAGAGGTTTGGTTGAGCCTGGCTAAAGCTTCCATGTCTGGCTGGATAAAACGTATCACTCTTGGAGCTACTATTCCTTACGACAGCAGGAAGAAAGGAGCAGAAAAGAGTAGGAAAAAACCTACATGTACATGTAGTATCGTCCTCCAAAAAGCTGAAGTTAAATTGAGTAAACAAAGAGTTAATTTTATGATGTTATGTAGGCGTGGTGTAGGTGTAAAGTGCAGTAATTAAAAATGGCGGATTACTACTCATAAACTAAAGTTTTAAAGCTAAAACTCATCCTAGAAATTTTTGTGGTACATATCATTGTTTATAAAATGCTGTGACATGTTTATACATTGTAGAAGAAGACCTAGTGGTATAGAAATTACTGAAGAGGTTAATTGTATTAATTGTAATGGAAATCTTTTACTGGAAGTGAGTAAGATTCCTGCAGATGTACAGGCTAAAGGTGAGATTAGTTTTCTTTTTTAGATTTTTTGAAGTGTGTCAAGTTATGGTTTTGTTTGTTTTTTATTTTTTCATTTTGTAACGTGTGCATGCGGAGCCTGAATTACATTCAAACAATGTTTAGACATTGTGCCTGAGTATTTGATCTGCCATTTTATGACGGTTTTCCACAGGATATTGGCGTAGTCCTCATGCATCCTCAGGCTCTTGTTCCAGTACTTTACATGTCCAGCTATTGCAATGGGACTTCCGGTCGCATTAATTTAATGATATTCATTGGAATTACCATAGCAACGGCAGCTCAGCAATGGTGGATTGATAGGAAGCTTCACTACAAAGCCTGCTAACGTCTTTCTGGTTCATGGATGGGACTTCACTAGATACTTTGAGCTTCTTGAATGCTACTTAATGCAATTGGTTATGGTAGTTTTTTCATATTCTATTGTTAAAGTGGCAGGCGTGGCGCAAGAAGACTCATCCACTAACAAAAGGCCTTCTTGTTATTACTTTAAAAGGATCTAGAGACATGATTGCTTGTATAGCTGTTAAGCACTCTTAGTTTTACTTTATTATTCCCGTGAGAAGAGAAAAGCACTTGTTCACTCTTGTTGCTGCACCCGTTATCACCGAGGTTATCACTGAGACGACTAAAATTATTTCACCTTTAGAAGACTAAAGTACCGAACAAAGTTTTGAATTTCTTTATCTTTTTTGCATGATTGGGTAGTAAAAATGTTGTACTTTCACAATATAAGTGCGCAATTTGTCAAAAATTGTTTGAAATTTAGATATAACCATTCAAAAAGTAAAAAAATTATCATACATACATAAAGGAATGACAAAAATGGCGGCACTGACTGCCTCATCTTTAATCTGCAAATGTTCCACACAAAGTTACTCCAAGTGCTGTCATATTTAGCAGGAACACAGGTATAATTATGGAGAACAGCTACTGAAGTGCGCAAATTGATGAGACTTATTCTGAAGAAAGATATAGCCTAGTAAATGGAAATGTCCATTCCTGCCCTGTATAAAGTCAACCAGTAGTATACGGAGATAATTGCTCAGTATACTAATCCGCGTCCACTCATTGCTGGACATGAGTACAGGGTATTTAGCCAAAAAATCACAAAGAGGGAATTCTCTATTTTTACAATTTTTCCCAATGCATATACATGTTTTTATATTATGTAGAAAGTTTGAGCTTATTCCGATCAAATTTGGTTTTTTACAAATTTTTAAAGTTGCTCAAAAATTGTGCCAAATTAAGTGTCCTTTTATTTTTAGGTGGTCCTCTTAGTATCAGTGGAGAGGTAGCTCATGCCATCAATCTCAGTGGACTGAGGGAAGTGTGTATTAGGAGAGTGGATAAAGATGAAGTGACACTTGATTTGGTTGTATTCATATTTAAAGTGAGTTATGAGTATGAACTCTAGCAGTGCATGTACAATCATGTGTGATACTTAAAACCTTTATTGAATCTACCAACTGTGATGGCTGTAACATC